GACCGGAACAACTGCAGCCAGCAAACCAGCCCAATCAGAGGTAGGAACAGCCAGCCAACCTCCTGCTGACCCTCCCCATGGCTGGCCCCGCCCCTGATCACTCCCCCTACCCCAATAGGGGCGGGGCCAGCCAGTCAACCTCCTGCAGCCCCCGCTCCTGACCGGCCCCACCCCAGATTGGGCCCCCCACTCTAATTAGGGCAGGGCTGGCCAGCCAACCACCTGTGTCCCCTTCCCCCGGCCAGCCCTGCTCCTGGCGGCCTCCCCATCCCATTTGGGGGTGAGGCCAGCCGGCCCACAGCCCCTCCCCACAGCTGGTCCTGCCCCCAATCGGCCACCTACCCCAATTGGGGGCGGGTCCTGCCAGTAAATCGCCCTCAGTTCCTTCCTTAAGCCAACCCGGCCCTAATTGGGCCCCAATCAGGGTGGGTCAGCCAGCCAACCTCCTACCGTCTCCTCCTCACAACAGGCCCAGCCCCAATCCACTCCGATTGGGACCTGGCTGGCCAGACCCCACCTGTGCATGAATTTGTGCACTGGGCCTCTGGTACTATATAATATTCAAAATTAGAGTAAGTTATTTTTATAACAGGAAAATTAACAATTAAGTTTCCATTCTTCTCCCGTATGAGAATGGAAACTTTAGATTACTGATTTTAAAGTATTTAATAGTTTGCACAAATCTATTTAAAATTTTTCTACGTATACAAAAAGTTTACCTATCTGTAGATATAGAGAGGCTATGCCTAAATGTATAAAAGGAGATTTCTTGGTTCAGCACTTAAATTGCATTGAATTTAAGTAAGTACATTTATATGTTAAGATAGTTATACATTTCTACTGTGAAATAAAATAAAACTCCGAAATTGTAGAGTTTAATAAATACCACAAAGAACATCTTTATGTGTCAGTTACCTATTTCCACAGTGATACTATGTAACAAGAGCTTTAAAAGTCTCAGTGCTTTATAACAAACATTTGCTTATCTCACTCACTGGTTTGTGTGTCAGTTGGGATGTGGCTGCAGGCAGCAGAAATAGTTTTGTTCTGTTCACTTGCCTTGTTCTGAAACTCAGGCTAATGGGACAATAGCTACCTGCAGTCTGTTGTTCTCAGGTGGTAGTAGAAGCACAAGAGGGGAAATCCAACTGTGAAACTGTCCTTTAAACCTCTACTCACATCAAGTGGATCAGTCTATATAGAGAGGTCACAATTTCTGGTTTTTCCTTAACATACAGGTACCTGGGAGAAAGGACTCCTTTAAAGTATTAATATTAATTGATTTAAATAGTTTTGAAATTGTGAATTTAAAAGTAAAATTTTTATTATTTCTTTTATATGAAAATATTTTAAAGTACATAGAATTTATACTTTATGCTCAACACATGACTATCTGCCTACTAGTCTGAATTAATAAATTCAGAATAATTTACTGTATGTTTATATTTGGTTCTATTTTTTGAAGAAATTTTTAGTTGAACTTTCTTTAACCCTTTTCAGTCGTTTCTTTCCCAAAAGCAAACATTATTTGCTGTGTACTTACTTCTTCCCCCATTGGCAGGCAGTACAAAGTAACCTTAAGTCTGTTGCATCCAGCCCTAGCCGGTTTGGCTTGGTGGATAAAGCATCGGCCTTCCAGGTTTGATTCTGGTCAAGGGCACATGCCAGGGTTGTGGGCTCGATCCCCAGTGTGGGGTGTGCAGGAAGCAGCCGATCAATGATTCTCTCTCATCATTGATGTTTCTATCTCTCCCCCCCCTCTCCCTTCCTCTCTGAAATCAATAAAAATATATTTTTTAAAAAGACTGTTGCATCCAAACATAAGTTTGATGAAAAATTTAAAAAGCCACTTATCTTTCTAAGAATTCTCAATCTCCAGATCATAATCATTCTTGATCTGGGTCCACTGTAATTCTGCCCAATTATTGTTGTTCATTTTCTGCAACCTTGTTAATGGTAAATTTAACTATCACTATCAAACTTTATATACAAGAAGAAGAAAATAAGTTAATATTCTAGCAATAAACAATTACAGCAATGACCATATAGAAGTGGAGGCTACAGTTTATTTTTCTGTTGTTTAAATTCTTCCCTCTATAAAATTTTCTCGGTTTCCTGGGGGGGGGGGGGGGTGGAGGGGGAGTGTGTGTGTGTGTGGTGGTGGTGGTTTTGTTTTAGGTTTTTTTGTTTTGGGGGCTTTGTTTTGTTTTTTGCCTGATGGAGTGGTATAAGTATTTCTAAACAATCTGAGACTTTATTAGGCATGCATCCTGCCCTAATCTCCCTCATCATTTTCTAATTATTTCCTTCATTTCACTTATAATTTATTAAAATATTAGATAATGTATTTAGTATGCTGCTTACTTACTATATATCTTCCTCCCCTTAAGGCAGAGGTACTTTTCTTTGTAGTTCACTGATATTTCCCAAGAATCTTGAACACTGCCTGGCACTTGAAGGCACTCAGTATTTGTTCATTGAATTAATATTTTCTTTTTAATTGTTCTGATCTTTATCTCCTTAGCTCAGCCTTCAGTGTTGCCATATAAGCCTTCTGGTAGTACGAAGATGTACTATGTTCCACAATTAAGTCAAAGTCCTTCATCTATGGATTCCAAATCGAAGAGGACCTATGTTCCACAATTAGGTCAAATTCCTTCACCTATGGATTCCAAATCAGACACCACCATTGAGAGCTCACACTCAGGTATTATTCAGAATTATTTAAAATTTTATTTTTTGCTCCCTAACTGGTTTGGCTCAGTGGATAGAGCGCAGCCCTCAGACTGAAGGGTCCCGGGTTCAGTTCTGGTCAAGGGCACATAAGTTGGCACATAAGCAGGTTCCCTGGCCCTGGTTGGGATGCATACAGGAAACAACCAGTTGATGTGTCTCTCTCACATCGATGTTTCATTCTCCCTTCCACTCTCTCTAAAAATCAATGGAAAAACATCCTCAGGTGAGGATTAAGAAAATAAATAAAATTTTATATTTTGAAATTTTATTTGTGGACTGGCTAGTTAATTCTGGAATGACATGAAAGCTCATTGGTATTTAATCTTTCAGTGAAATATGGGTGTTTCATGCCTCCATCTTTGGTTCAGATAGATGACTTATTTGGTTAGATATATTATGTATACTTAAACATTTAATAAATATTTGGTGAAGAAAATTGTATGAACAATTGTTTGTTTGAGTTAGTATACTCTGTTTAGGTCAGAGTTTTCCAAGTTTTCTCTATTCACAGAGCCCTTAATGTTTCAGTGATTTTTTTCTTCATCATTATGTGAAACACATATAAAATAAGTATTTTTTCAAATAGGGAGTAAGTTATTAGGGCACATATATTTGTTGTTTTGACCTAACTTAATAAACAAAAATATTAAGTATAGCCGAAACCGGTTTGGCTCAGTGGATAGAGCGTCGGCCTGTGGACTGAAAGGTCCCAGGTTCTATTCCGGTCAAGGGCATGTACCTGGGTTGCGGGCACATCCCCAGTAGGAGATGTGCAGGAGGCAGCTGATCGATGTTTCTCTCTCATCGATGTTTCTAACTCTCTATCTCTCTCCCTTCCTCTCTGTAAAAAATCAATAAAAATATATTTTTTTAAAAAATATTAAGTATAAACAAAAATGTTAGGCATTTCTTTGCGGTTTTGCTTTTTGAAAGAAAATACTTTGTTCATAAATAACCACAATTACTTACTAATGAGATACGTGCAACTGCTAAGGCACTACACACCATCTCAAACCTTGTGATGAAATTGGACACAACACCTTGTTTCCTGCTTTTATTACTGAAACTGTAATTCACGTTTGTAAAGACACAACAGCATTGAAATGAATGTAGCACTATCTAGTATTGAAACTTTACCTTGAACTAGTAGTTTGTGTAGTGTATACCAGGTAGCAAATATCATTGTTGATTCCCTAGAATTTTTAAATATCCTGATCACTCCTTTGAGATCACCCCAGGGCATCTGCAGATTTAGAAAATTTTCCTATCGTGACTTCAAAGTAATGATACTTAATTGCTGTGCTGTGGGATTTTGATTGATGAAATAACATTTTGAATGATACACAGGAGATGACTTGGTTCAGTTTAAATATAAATTGTTTTGGGTTTTTTTTTCATGATTTTTCAGTAGACATCTTTAAATGTGCAGAAATTACACAGAAAGGATAAATTGTTCTGGTCTTATTTTTAAAGAAAAATACTGATTCTGAGAGAGGAAGGAAGAGGGAGAGAGAGAGAGAAACGTCAATTGGCTGCCTCCTACACGCCCCCTACTGGGGATTCAGTGGGTAGCCCCAGCTCGTTCCCTGGCTGGGAATCAACTGGTGACCTCCTGGGCTTAAGCACACTTCTTTTTAGTTAATTTTGAGAGGACAAAAATAGTATCCAGTGGTAATTGAGTTAAAAAACCCCTGGTGCCACTGAAAAAAAAACCCACATAAATACTCATCAAATACTAGACTTGATTACTAAGCCTTTCATCAGAAACTGGAAGAAATGGCCATTATTTGCAAGTCTTTGGTTTTCAAAACACATTTAATGGCTACCAGAAATAAAACAAGCTGACTTAATTGATTATAGGTAGGAAAATCTTTGATTTCTCTATCACTTTAAAGCCCCCTACTTCAGAAGACAGGATGTCTGTATCAGCAGAAATCTGATCAGTTTCCCCAATACTTTTTGAGGCCTCTAGTGTCCTGCTATTCATTCACATCCATAATTATTCCATCTAGTTGGAGACATTAACTTTGAGAAAAATTGGACAGTGGTGGGAGGAGAATGACTCAGGTGGGATGGTGCATTATATCCTGAGAAATGTTGTTCTACATCTATTCTGAGTGTGAGGGAGTTGAGAATAGAAAACAATCCTTTCTTAGACCAGTAGAGTTACTCTAGATGAAAGCCTAGGAATTGTGCTAATAGTTATTGTTTATTAATGCATTGTGGATCTATAAATATTAAAAAAAAATACAGATAAGGCAAAGGTAACATCCCAAAGAAAGAGATAGTGTTAGAAATTTACTTATTAGGAGTAGTAACATTCATAAACAGTAAAAGACTTTAAAAAAATTATTAGAGACAGACAGGGTCACTTTATAGTGATAATAGAATCAATCCATAAACAAGAAGGTAAAACAGTTAAAGTGTATATGCACCTAGCAACAGAGTCCTAAATACAAAAAGAAAAACAGACAGAATTAAAAAGAAAAATAAACCCACAAGAAATATTTCAAATCAGTTGCAAAAAGCCATGTATTTTTTAATTCCATTATATGAAATATGCAGAATGAGGAACTTTATATAGACAGAAAGTAGATTACTGGTTGCCAGGAGTTGTGGGAGAGGGGGAAATGGGAATTATTTGCTGATGTGTACAGGGTTTCTTTTTGGGATGACAAAAATGTTCTGTAATTAGATAGCAGCGTTGGTTGTGATTATCCTAAGAATTTCTGAATGTATACTTATTTAAATGTTATGTGAATTCTCAATTCTGAAAAAAAGGGAGGGGCAGAAATGAACAAATGAAAAGACTACCTGAAAATGTAAAGATTTGGTAGTAGATTTAGAATATATTTTGCAAGCAATGAGGAGGAAAATTAATGTGAAGGAAATTAAATTGGTGATGAGGACAAACTTGAGAAATTCTCTAAAAATACAGAGAGAATAAATGAAGATGATGAAAAAGACTAGAGTCATAAGAATCACAGCTAAGTAAACCAAACCAAGAATTATATCTGTAGCTGAAGAAGAAAGCAGAACAATGTGAACAAAAGTAATATCAAAGACTTAGTAGAGGAAAACTTCCCTCTCCTGAAAAAGGGAACACAGTATGCAGATTGAAAGTTATACAGATCCAGGCAAAAATGAGTAGAAGGAGACTGACATACATACTAGGAAAAGATTTTGAGTTAGAAGGGAAAAAAAATTACATAAACATACACAGTTGTGTTTTTAATAAAAGGTTGTATAGTTAATTTAGTCATATCAAATTTACAATGCTAAAATGTAACAGATAAATGGTGCAAAATATGTATTTATATAATTACATAATTCAGGGATCTGTGAACCCAAGTGCATATTCATTAAGCAGTATGACAATGAGAATACATTTTCACGAATATGCAGGAAGTACAAAATATATTCTACTTCCATCCCATCTTGAAAAATTCACTTGGAGATTTATCCAGCTGAAGAAATGGATCAAAATGAAGAGTTCAAGAATGAAAGGTGGTAGTGCCGAGTGTGCAATTGTGTGCTGCAGGCAATATGCATGCTCTGTTTATCTAGAAGTAGTTGTGATGAGAGTGATCACCATGTATAGTAGTTTGTCTTATATCATAATATACAATAACATATTTTTTGTAATTAAGGAAGGAATTGTTCTTCTGATTTCTTCAAGGACTAGCTTTGTCCTGAATGCTAGAATCTGAAGCTCAGAAGAAAGGTCCCAGTTGGATATAAATATATATTTGTTGTCCATCAGCATATATATAGTGTTCCATACATTGGTAATCTGTGATTTCACTCAGGATTTGAAGAAAGCTCAGTTCTGACCCTTTAAAGAACTCTGACAATGAGAGATTTGGGAGAAGAATAGATACAAGGGCTTTCCCAGAGAGGTAGGGAGCAAACCAGGGAAAGTGATGCCACAGAAACTGAGAAGATCCAAATATAATCAGTACTATAGCCAATAAGGCTTAGTAGGATCCTTGCAATCTGTCTCGAAAAATGGCTTCATGGCTTATTAATATTTGTATTGTTCTGATGATACTAATACTTACCAAGCATTTATTGCATTTACATTTTAAGTGCTCAGAAAATGCATGAAGTACAGAATTCCAGATTAGAAAGAAAACACATTTTTGTAGAAGATAATTCTAAAGTTACTACAAACTCTCCTGTATGTCCAGAGATATTCTTTCACCACTTATATTTGGCATAGATAAGCTTCTCTTTATCAAGATATATAGGAACATTAAACATTTTTAATAAAATTAGTTTCAAGTTTGGTATTTCTACTACATAGAGGTTCCTTTCAATGTTTTGTCCCTTATATTGTCAGGTTAATCTTCCTAAAATGTAGCTAATTATATTTCCCTTTATTTAAAAAATCTTGATGTTACATTTTATGTACAAAAAAATTCGGGATTTTTAGCTTGGGATTCCATGCCCTGCTCAATTTCGTTTCAAACAATTATTTTTAAATATTTCCTATCACTCTCTTTAATGTATTTTATAACCCAGCCTGAGCACAAATGTATCTGCTTCTTATATCTCTTTGCTTTCCTGCCTCCTTGTCTACTAATGCTGTAACCTCTGCCTAAAATGTCTTTTTTTAAAAAATATATTTTTTATTGATTAAGATATTACATATGTGTCCTTGTCCCCACGTTACCCTCTACCCCCCCCCCCTCATGTCCTCATCCCCTTTTTTTTGTTAATCCTCACCTGAGGATATATTTTCCACTGATTTTTTTTTTTTATGAGAGAGTGGGAGGGACTGAGGAGAGATGTGAGAGACACTTCCATTGGTTGCCTCTTGAACATGCAACCCAGGCACCTGCCCTTGACTAGGAATCGAACCCTTGAACCTTTGGTTAGGCCTATACTAAAATGTCTTTATTCCTTCCTCTGTGTTTTTCAAACAGCCTACTTATTTTCCAAGGTAAAATCTAATTTCACCTTCCTCTGAAAACCTTCCTGAGCTGGAAATTGTCTCCTTTCTGAACCATTAGTCTACTTTATATGTTTTTTCTTCTGTCATTTGCTTCTCCACCTTGTATTGTTACAATTTAGTTTACGTGTCTGGCACCTTCTGTCTGACATCTCCTTCTGATTACTGTACTATACTCCCATTGTAGTGCTTTTTTTAAAAGTGTTTTAAGTGGTAAATTTTCGTCTTTCTTCAACTTAATGGCTATATTTGTGTTAATTGTACTACTGTCCCATTTATTTTAGGATCCAATGATGCCATTGCTCCAGATTTCCCAGCTCAGGTGCTAGGCACAAGAGATGATGACCTGAAATTCTCTGTTCATATTAAACATAAAGAGGGGATCTATAGTAAGAGGGCAGTAACTAAGCCATCCTCATCAAAGGAAAAAAAAAACATTCAGAAAGATAATTCAGGTAACTGGACTGGCTTTGTATATTTTATGGCCTCTCTTTTACCCCTGTTCATCCTAAATGAGAATATTGTTCAGTCTTTATCTTGTTCTGCTTTGTTATGTAAACTTTTTTCTTAGCTATCTTATTGGGTATGTAGAAAAGGGTAAAATATTTTAAAGTACTTCACAGATTTTTGAAACGTGTAAACTGTTTTTTAAAATATTTTTTTATTGATTTCAGAGAGGAAGGGAGAGGGGGAGAGAGAAACATCAATGATGATAATCATTGATTGGTTGCCTCCTGCACACTCCCTACTGGTTCATAGGTCGATGCTCAACAACTGAGCCACACCGGCTAAGCTGTAAACTTTATTTTTACTATGGAAAAAAAAATACGTTGTAACTTTGAAATGAAATAATATTTAATCAAGTATGTTTTAGAGACTAGAATCCATAGAAAATCTTGATTAAATTGTCTGATGAGTTTATCTGTCAAGTAATTCAAACTAGTCGTAATTTGGTAGATAACTTAGTGATCCTACTGACAAACAGCTGAGGATGGGGAAGATGTGGAAAATTTGGCAGAAATCAAAGTTATAGAATTAAGGGAATTTTTTCAAAAGTCTGCACAAAGTACTTGCCAACCATCATCCACTCAGGCTACATTTAATCAAAATGATATCTTAGAAATAAAGTTTGGCTCCAAACATCCCTCCTATTCTAGGGGTCTGTTAATAATATTGTTGGTCTGCTTTTAAACTTTGCATCCTAAGGAAAAATCCTTCTCCTGGTTTAATCCTATGCAGTCATTTCACCATGGGAAAATTTCAACCTCAGAACCTTTTACCTTAAGGGGTTACACAGGAAAGGGGACATGTCTGCCTGAAGAAATAGTGACTTACGTATAACAGCTAAGTGAGCTCATAATTCTACCATAAATAAAAGTCTCAGTGGAAGTGTTGGAATATAAGAGTGAGAAAATCTCTTAGAAAATAGAACATAAAACGGAGGAAAAAGAAAGAATAGAAAATTCAAGATTGGCTTAAAAGATTCAACATAAAAAAAACAGGTGTTCCGAAGAGACAATAAAGAATCAGTTAGAGCCATATATATTAATGTGAATAAATCCCCAAGTCATAATATTGAGAGAAAAAGGCATGTTGCTTAAAGGACATAGAGTATTATACTATTTATATAAAGTTTAAAGACATGCAAAACAATCCTTACATTGTTGATTAATTCATACAATATAGTAAAAAAAAATCCTTAAGATTGATAAACTCTAAATTCAGTATGAATGTTGCTATTGAAAAAAAAGAGAATGGCATCATTGAAGCTTTATACACAGAATCATTATAATCATTACTAGTAGCCCTATGCATGAAGATTTGTGCAAGAATGGGCCTTCCTTCTCCTGGCTGCCTTTCCACCTTCCCACACTGCCCACAGCGGTTGGGGCTGTATGGAATGCCTGCATCCCACCCCGCCCCTGGCTGCTGGCGGTGTGCTATGCAAATTAACCCACCATCTTTGTTGGGTTAAATTGCATACTCACTCCTGCTTGAATGTTGGGTGTCATGAAGGTATGGTCAATTTACATCTTTCTCTTTTATTAGTGTAGATTTTATAATACTGTATTTTTTAAGCTCTGTGGTAGACATATTGGTGTTCATTATGTTATGCTTTAGTAATCTATTGCCTTTCTGATTTCTTTGTTGAAAAATACTTATACTTAGAAATAGCAAATGAATTTTTTGTCAACCCATTGTAAAAACATGTAACCATTATTGTTGACTGTTATCTTAGTTGTATTGGTGATTTTTTAAATGTGTTTACTAACATACCAGTTTGCACTTACATTTTATTATATGATAAAAAAAAGAGCTGATTTTAAAAGACCAAAAAGATAGGTAAATTTCTATCAAGTGTTACCAAGAAAAACAGAAATAGAACTATTAGACAAGTTTAAAAGGATGTAACGTAAGACTAAAAATTATTAAAAAGATACTCTATATAAAATGTACATGATATAAGTGAGTTTCTAGGATTATATGAAATATCAAAATTGGCTCTATAAGTAACATAAACTTTGAGTAAGCCAAAGAACTTGAAAGGATTGCTCAACTATACTTTTCTACTTTGAGAAAAATACCTGATCTAGACTTTTTTTCTTTACTGTTGTATCAAACCACAAGGAACAGATTTTATTTAAAGTGACACTTTATTTAACCCATTGTTGTACAAAGAAAAATACGGAAAGCTTTCCTGAAAATTCATGTCATGAACCCACCATTACTGTCACAGCTTTTACATGATAGGGCCTAAGAGGTGCTTTTTTTCTGAGAGAGATATATAAAGAGGTTTTGGATTTTGAGTTTTTTGGTAGGGAGGAGGACAGGTTCGGTTACATGATAGTTGTGTTTATTATCTTTTCTTTCTCTGTGGTGTTAAATGATGTCATTATTTCAGATGTTCACATTCTTATCACAGGAAATGAGAACCACTCAGACAAAAAACAGAAAAAGATCTACACTAAAAAGTCAGTGACTAAGCCTGCCCAACCTGAAAAAATAGAGTTCTTGCAGAAAGACACTGGAGGTAGATGAACTGGGTTATCTGCATGTTATTTCCTTCTGGCCTTCTAAATTGAGAAAAGACAGAACAGTATTATCTGTTCTCTACTTTGCTCTCTTCAGCCTTCCTTTGTCTTGCTCACATGTGAAATAAGATATTAGCTGTAATTTTTGTTATACATTGACGGGTATAAAACCAAATATTTAGTAAAACATTTTTAAAGCTTTTTGAGACATTGCTGGAGAACTTTGTGAATGTAGTACACAAATTAATTTCATTGGCACAAATTCAAATAATGGACTTTTAAAAAAATCCAGTGCCCTGAAATGCTGACTTTCTAATGCCGATCTTATACATAAGTCTTGTGTTTTAGGAATTTAGCTTGTTTACTTTCTTAACTACCTATCTAGTTAATTTACTTTAGTGGGACTATGCTGATTAAAAATGCCTATAATACTGTGTTTAAGTTAGGATTAGTTTTGATCTGAGAGATGAAAAAACAAAATATAATAACATTGGTTTAAAGAAGGCAGGAAATTCTTTCTTTCTTGTAAAAATCCAGAGATAGACATCCAGGCATGACATGGTACTTCAGAGTGTCAGGGAACAAAACTCTTTCTCTCTGTTGCTCTCACATTTTTAGCTTTCATTCTCATGCAGTAACCATCTGGCTCATATTCCAGCCAGCAGAAAGAAAGGAAAAGAAAAAAGCATATTCCTTCTTTAAAATACTTCTTAATAGTTATATGTATTATTTCCCTTCCATCCTATTGGACAGACTTAGTCACATGGTCACACTAAGCTATGTTGCTATTGAGGCTGGGAAATAATCTTTATTCTGGTAACTTTATGCCCAGCAAAGTTGGGGTTCTATTTTAGAGGAAAATGGATTTCAGAGGACAGCTGACAGTCTGCCACAATGTAAACAGAGACATATTCTGGAGCATAATTAGCCACTTGTCTTTAATTGTATATTAGTTGTTTTTTGTTTTTGTTTTTCAAATTTGTATTGTATTCTGGTCAACATTTCAAAAATTTATCTCCTTTTTGAATGTTTTGATCATGTTAATCTCCTAATCAAAAAGTTTTCATTGCCCTTAAGAATAAAATCTTAACTTGTAGCATAGTCTTTCAGAACAATAGAATCAGCTACCAAACAACTTTTCAAATGCTAATTTTCATCTGTTTTCCTTATAAATTCTGTAGTCAAATAAACAATATCCTTGATCTATTTCTTATTTGTTCGTTTGCGTTGCTGACTTCATTCTTTCTTATGTAGTCACCTCTGCCTAAAGGCCTCTCTCTCCATGTCTGTGTGCACTCCAGCTCACCTAACTTTTAACACCAGCTTAGGTAACTCTCTTCCAGCGCTCTTACATGATCCCCCGAGCTGGAATGAGTTTTTCTTCCTTTAAGTTCTTACACTTCTTTATCTGTCTGTCTCTGTGGTGTAATTCTTTTACTTTGTATGATATCTCTGTGTTTTTTAACTCCAATTTAGAACAACAGTTTCTAATCACATTCTTGATTGATCTTTTTATTTTTTCTTCAACACCAACAATAATGCTTTTCATAGTAGATGCTGGAGAGGTATTTTAATTATTTTTTTGTCAATCCTGTCTGGATAGGGTGTTAATTACCCTCTCTTAGATTCCAGTGATGCTGTTGCTGCAGAGCTCGCAGCTCAACTACAAGACACAAAGATTGAAAGCCTACCAGACACTAAAGCCATTAAGCAGAAAGAGGCGATCCCTAGTAAGAGGACATTTCCTAAGGAAGCCTGCTCAGAAAATAAGGAATCCTTGCAGATGGATATTGAAGGTAATGGGATTGGGATTTATGTGTGTCGGGAGAGGGAGATGCTGTGTCTATTTCCTTTCATCTTGATGAGAATATAGCCTCATAATTTAAACATCCATTTTTTCTTTCTGTTTTTTGTAAAATTACTTCAGTGCTACTTTGTCTATGCAGATGTACACTGAGTGGCCAGATTATTATGACCAGCCAGATTATTATGACCACCCCATCAGTACTTCATTGACACTTCCAAAAATACTGAATATTGAAAACTTCCTAAGCAAATACTCTCAAGGTTTTATTATTATTATTTGCATAACTAATTCACTTCATTGTACTGATAGGGTGGTCATAATAATCGGGCTGATCATAATAATCTGGCCACTCTGTGTGTGTGTGTGTGTGTGTCTATCTGTAATATAACTGTTACTTTTGGGAAACAATATTGGCAACTTGGGAACAAGATTATACATAAATACCTAAGGCTGATAATATTAACCTGTGAAGTATCATGTGTTAGTACTGACAGAGGGAAAAACTTATTCCAGAAGATTGTAACAAAGACAGGAAAACCTCAGTACAAACTTTTTAAAAATTACAATAAAGAGCCAAAAATTACAATAAAGACTCATGGCCCTCTTTTGAGTCTAACAAAAGAAAGGCATAGAGGACACAGCCATTACTACCTGGCTGTCAAACTTTACCTCTTAGAGGAAGATAGAACAGTACCCAGATAAGGAAAGAAAGGAGTCAATGAGCTATAATCCATATTACATTTCAAAAATAGTACAGGTGTAGCTGCTCACATCACAAATGTATAGATAAATGATTTTCCACAAGGGTGACAAGACTACATAGTGGTGAAGAAATATTCTCTTCAGCAAATGGTATTGGAAAGCTGATATCCATATGCAAAAGAACGAATTTGAATACTTTTACCACTTATAAAAATTAATTCAAAATGAATCAAAGATCTAAACATAAGAGCTAAAATTATAAAACTTATTAGCAGAAAGCATAGGGGAAAAGCTCCATGGCCTTGATATGGCAGTGATTTCTTGGATATGACCCCAAAAGCACAGGCAACAAAAGCAAAAAAATATACACACAAGAAGAAAAGTAACTGCACTAGATGATAAAGACTAAAGCGGACCTCTTTCTTAATGTCCAGTGTCCTTTGTCTTAAAATTTGGTGCAGTGTGTAAAAAAAGGCAAAAAAATAAATTATACTTACACCAAATTAAAAACTGCATCAAAGGACACAATCAATAGAGTAAAAAGGCAACCTATGAAATGGGAGGAAATATTTGTAAATCATGGTAAGTGCTTAATATCCAGGTTATATATGGAACTTCTTTAATTCAAGAACAACAGAGAAAGCCAGTTTTTAAAAGGGTGCAAAGGATTTAAATAGTTCTCCCAAGAAGACATATGAATGACTAATACATACATGAAGAGATGCTCAATATCACTAATCAGAGAAATACCAATTAAAATCACAGTGAGGTACTACTTCACACCAATTACGGTGGCCACTATCAGAACAGGTGATAATTATAAGATTATTTTATAGGCAAGCATGTGGAGAGATTGGAACTGTTGTGCACTGTTGGTGGAATATAGAAGGGTGCAGCCACTGTGGAAAATAGTACGGAGGTTCCTCGAAAAATTAAAAATAGAATTGGCATATAATACAGCAATCCCACTTCTGGGTATATGTCTAAAAAAATTCAAAGCCGATCTTACAGATATCTGCACACCTATGTTCAGCTCAGCATTATCCACATTAATCAAGATACGAAGACAATCCAAATGTCCATCAACAGATAAAGAAAGTGCTAACATGGTGCAATATATAGATCTTGTAACATAGAAACACATACCTGAAACCTGTTCATGTGGACCGATGCCAGCCCAGTAAATTTAATAATAAAAAAATCTCTTGAGATTTTCTTTAAAACAGAAAGTGTGTTAAAAACATAGTTAAATTTTATACAGCTTTAAAAAGGAAGGAAATCCTGTCACAAGCTATAGCATAGATGAACCTCAATGAAATTGTGCTAAGCGAAATAAGCCAGTCATAAAAGAAAAAAGAAACCCATGCTATATAGCAGACATATTGAAAATAAAATAACTCAGAAGGGTTGAAAAATAAAAGGAAAAGTAGAGATGAAAAATATGGAGACATATTAATATAGGTGAGATTAAATTAAACACCAAAAGTGTTACAGGAATTAAGGAGTGATGTTTTTATACTGAATTGCAATCCACAATGAGGTCATAATATAAATCTTTAAACAGGAAATAGCATAAAATAGATAAAACAAAACTAGGAGCATCATCAGTCAGGAAGTTTATGTTGCCTTACAAAAAAATGAAGTTGTAGAATTATATGAAAATAACTCGTATGATATATTGTTTAGGTAAAAGGTGCTAGGGGGAAATGCAAAACAGTCCACAAACTGTCCTAAACCCTGGAGGACCTTTAGGAGGAAATGGACAAAACAGAATAGTAGTAGTAAGGAGTTTGAACATACATACTTATCTCATACTAAATCATTGAAATGAAATTATTTTTATTTTATTTTTAAAAAATATATATTTTTTTATTTCAGAGAGGAAGGTAGAGGGGGAGAGAGAGATAGAAACATCAATGATGAGAGAGAATTATTAAATCGGCTACCTCCTGCATGCCTCCTACTGGGGATCAAGCCCACAACCCAGGCATGTGCCCCAACTGGGAATCGAACCCTGAACTCTTGGTTCAGAGGTTGACGCTCAATCACTGAGCCATGCCGGCTGGGCTGAAATTTTTAAAAAGCAAAGTTAAAAAAATCATCTGGGAATATTGCAAATAATGAGGTTGATTTAATAGATATGTGTACATGTTTGTATGCTTAAAAAAGACACACGGTGTCCTTTAAAGAGTAAAGATTTTTAACTTTGATGAAGCCTGATTTACTTTTTCTCTTGTTGCTTGTGCTCTTGGTGTTTTATCTACCAGTCCTACAAATTCAGGGTAATGAAGATTTACTCCTATGTTTTCTTCTAATATTTTCTAGTTTTAGCTTTACATTTAGCTCTTTGATCTATTTTTGTTAATTTTTTTGTATATGTGGTGTGAGGTAAGAGCACAACTTCATTATTTTCCATGTGGATATCCAGTTATCCCAGCACCATTTGTGGGTTTTTTTGTTTTTTGTTTTTTTTCCCAGCACCATTTGTTAAAAAGGACTGTTCCTTTCTCACTGAATGGGCTTGGCACCCTTATTGAACATCAATTGACCATAGATGTATGGGTTTGTTTATGGACTCTCAATTCTATTCTGTTGCTTTACATGTCTATCCTTGCTGATTGTTGCTTTGTAGTATTAAGTTTTGAAATTGAAAGTGTGAATCCTTCAACTTTGTCTATTTTATGGTGCTACTCTGGATCTCTTACACTTGCACATGAATTTTGGAATCAGCTTGGCAATTACTACAAAGAAACCAGCTAGGTTCTGATAGGGATTGTGTTGAACCTATGATCAGTGTGGGGATATTGCCTTCTTAGCAATATTATCTCCCAGTCCATGAACATGGGATGTTTTCTATTCATTTAGATCAGGGCTCCTCAAACTGCGGCCCGCCGAAAACATTTATCCATCCCGTCGGGTGTTTTTGCCGCTACTGCCTGTTGCTTAGCAGCCGACTAGGTTTTTTTAAAACTATAGTCCGGCCCTCCAACGGTCTGAGGGACAGTGAACTGGCCCACTGTTTAAAAAGTTTGAGGACCCCTGATTTAGATCTTCTTTCATTTCTTTCCACGGTGTTTTGTAGCGTTCAGAGTAGAAGTTTTACACTTCCTTTGTTATATTTATTTCTAAATATTTTATTTTTATGCTATTGTGAATTAAATGGTATTTTTTATTTTGTTTTTAGTTTAACTGCAGTGTATGACAATACAGTTGATTTTTAAAATATTTTTTATCCTGCAATCATGCTGAACTCATTTATTAGTTCTAATAGGTTTTTAATGTATTCTTAGAATTTTCTAGATACAAGATCTTGATATCTATGTATATAGTTTTATTTCTTTCTTTGAATCCAAATGCCTTCCCCCCTAATTGCTATGGCTAACACCTCAAGTATAATGTTAAATAGAAGTGGCAAAAGCAGACATCTTTATATATTCCTGTCTAGGAGGCAGACATTCTGTCTTTCATAAGTTAGTATGATTTTAGCTGTGTGTTTTTCATGGAAGTCCTTTATCAGATTGAGGAAGTTCCTTCTATTCCTAGTTTGTTGAGTGTTCTTATCAAGGAAGGGGTTAGATTTTGTTAAATGCTTTTTCTGTGTCTCAGATGATCAAATGAGTGGGGTTTTTTTAATCTTTAAATTGAACGTATTGGGGTGACTTCGGTTAATAAAATTATATAGGTTTCAGAAGTACAATTCTATAATACATTATGTGTATATTGTATTGTGTTAAGCCAAACTTGCACTCATGGGGTAAATCCCACTTGGTCATGTGTATAATTCTTTTTATATGTTGCTAGATTTCATTTGCTAATATATTTTTTTAATATATTTTATTGATTTTTTACAGAGAGGAAAGGAGAGGAATAGAGAGTTAGAAACATCGATGAGAGAGAAACATTGATCAGCTGCCTCCTGCACACTCCCCACTGGGTATGTGCCTGCAACCAAGGTACATGCCCCTGACCGGAATCGAACCTGGGACCCTTGAGTCCACAGACCAACACTCTATCCTTTGAGCCAAACCAGTTAGGGCCATTTGCTAATATTTTGATAAGGATTTTTTTTGTTTATGTTTGTAAGAGCTGTTGACTTGTAGTTTTCTGGTGATGTCTTTGTTGGGTTTTATTATCAGGGTACCACTGGCCTCATAAAATGAATTTGAAAAATAAATATTCTTTAAATGTTTAATAAAATTCAGGGGTGAAACCATCTGCGCCTGGACTTTTCTTTGTAGGTAATTTTTTTATTATTACTAATTCAAATTCTTCACTTGCTTTAGGTCTTTTCAGATTGTATATTACTTCTTGAGTCAGTTTCAACAGTTTGTGGCTTCCTAGGAATGGGATGTGTTCATTATATCTAAATTATCTAATTTAGTTCATAGTATTCCTTTATAATCCTAATAAATAAGATTTATTTATTGGTAATAATGGTCACTCTTTCATTTTGGATATAAGTCTTATTTTTTTTCTTGGTCAGTCTAACTAAAAGTTTGTTGATTTTTTTTTAAAATCTTTTCAGAGAACCAGCCTTTGTTTTCTATTATTTTTTTCTTTTTAAAATTCTCTATTTCATGAATTTTCACCTTAATTTTTATGATTGCCTTCCTTCAGTTTGCGTTAGTTTTAGTTTAATCTTTTCCCAATGTCTTAAGATAAAGTTTAGGCTTCTTTACTTGATCTTTCTTCTTTCTTGATACAGGCATATTCTATTATAAATTTCCCTTTTAGCTTTAGGTGCAGCTCATAAGTTTATTGCTATTTATTACAAAGTATTTTCTGGTTCTCTTTTGATTTCTTCTTTAACTCATAGGTTACTTAGGAATGTTTTATTTAATTTTCACATATTTGAGTTTTCCAAATTTTATTCTGCTATTGATTTCTAATTGCATTCTGTTGCGGCCGGGGAGCAGATTTTGTTATTATTTCTATCCTTTTAAGTTTATTCTCTTGCCTGATTGCTCTGAATAGGACTTCCAGAACTGTGTTGTATAAGAGTGGGCATCGTTTTCTTGTTCCTGATTTTAGAGGAAAGCTTTCTGTTTTCACCATTGAGTATGATATTGGCTGAGGGTTTGTGATATATGGTATTTATTATGTTAAGGTACTTTTCCTTCTAGACTCATTTTATTGAGGGTTTTATCATAAATGGCTATTTTGTCTTATCAAATAGTTAGTTCATAGGTCAATAATCAACCACCAAGCCATACTGTCTGGGTTATTATTATTTTTTTGAAGTTGTTACATTTTTTTTATTGTGGTGAAATATACGTAACAAAATTTACGGGTTTGACCATTTTGTAGTATACAGCTCAGTGACATTAAGTACATTCGCATAATTGTACAACCATCACCTCCATCCATCTCCAGAATTACTTCATCTTCTCAAACTGAAACTCTACCCCATCAAACACTAACTTCCTCTACTCACTTCCTCCTGGCCCCTAACATCACCATACAAGCCTCTGTTCCAGTGAATCTGCCTCTTCTATCTAATTCACATAAGTAAAATCATACAATGTTATACTTTTGTGTCTGGCTTATTTGTCTCAGCGCAGTGTCTTCAAGGTTCATCTACATTGAGCATGTATTGTCAAGATTTCCTTTTATTTTTAATATATATTTTTTATTATTGATAGTATTACAGATATCTCCCTTTTTCCTCTCCTTCCTGGCTATTTTTTAAAAATTAATTTTAGAGAGAGGAAGGGGGAGAGAGAGAGAAACATTGATTTGTTGTCTCTTATTTTTTTGTTGTTCTTTTAAAAAAAATTTTATTGACTTCAGAGAGGAAGGGAGAGGGAGAAAGAGAAAGAGATAGAAACATCATTGATGAGAGAGAATCATTGATCAGCTGCCTCCTGCATGCCTCCCACTGGGGATAGAGCCCGCAACCTGGGCATGTGCCCTTGACCAGAATCGAACCTGGCACCCTTCAATTCGCAGGGCGACACTCTGTCCACTGAGCCAAACTAGCTACGGCTGTTGTCTCACTTATTTATGCACTCATTGATTGATTCTTATAAGTGCTCTGAACAGGGATCAAACCCACAACCTTGATATATTGGGATTATGTTCTAACCAACTTAGATACCTACCCAGGGCAGATTGTACTTTAGACATAAAAGCAGATTTCATGTGCCTTACTATGTTCTGGGGAAATTGCCTTAGGGATTATAAGAGTATTTAATAAAAACCTTAGTTGTCAGTAATCTATGGTGTAGGTGAAAAGGATCTATAGTTACTTTGGATCCAAAGAAAAGATACATTCTACTAAAAGGATCCAAAGTGTTACTTTGTTGTATGCATATATATTTCTTTGTTTCTATCTATAACTTGAAACACCAAAATATATATTGATCCTATATTACTATTTCCATCTGGGGGTTATGATTATTAGATATTATTACATCTAAAAATGCCCATTTTTACATAGAATGACTGTCAAAAAGTGAATTTGGAAGATGGTAAATTTTGTATTAGGTATATTTTACCACAGTAAAAAAAAATTGGAGGAAAAAATGTGAAGATGGCCCACAGAAAGAAATTTTAAGAGGCTCTAGAACATGTAAAGAGTTTTTCTTTTTTATCCCACGCATTTAATTTCTGATAATGAATTCTCAGGTTTCTTAGCTGAAAGAGGGATTAGTAAGGCATATCTCTGTTTTCTCAACATGATTGAATGAAAAGGGGAAAAACATAGAGCACTGATCATAGTACCCCACACATAGCAAGCAGTTAGTACAAAGCAGCTGCTGTTACAGTCCCGAGGACTAAAGCTCCTTTCTCAAGCTCACCCAGCCAGTTCGTGACAGAGTTCTACCCAGAATCCAGGTCTTCTGACCCTGTGTCTCTTAAATGTTTACCATGCCACTCTAGCCACTAGGCACAGGCATAAATCCTTTGTTCAGGCAGTGAATTTTCTGAAACTTTATATAAACTGTTCTTTCTTTTTCTTCTGTTTCTAAAGAATTAAGTTTGAATACTATTTCTAAAGGAAACGAAAATATTTTGAAAGAACTTCAAAATCTTTTTTTTCTCCTTTTCAGAGTCCAGTTCGGAATTTGAAAATACTACCCATTCTGTGTTCAGGTCAGCCAAGTTTTACTTTCATCATCCAGTGCACCTACCAAGTGATCGAGATTTTTGCCATGAATCCTTAGGGAAAAGTGTTTTCATGGGGCATTCTTGGAAAGATTTCTTCCAGCAGCATCCAGACAAACACCATATTAGTCTTCCTCCCTCTTATCAAACTGAGGAAAAGACAGAATGTACTAGAATAGAGAGCCTCCATATCAATGTAAACTTGGGAAACAAAGAAAAGATACATTCTACTAAAAGTCAGGCTGGAGATCATACAAAATGTGACAAACAGATTAATGATCAAAAAAAGAATCGTAAGGTCACCCCAGAGCCCACAGCTCAGCACATTACAAGTTTGAATGAACTCTGGAACAAGTATCAGGAGCGGCAGAAGCAACAAAAATCTCACGAGTTCAGGGGTGGAAAAGAACTATCCTTGGTGGAGCGACTTGATCGTTTGGCTAAACTTCTTCAGAATCCTATCACACATTCTCTTTGGCCCTCAGAAAGTACACAGGATGATAGCAGAGGGCAGCGAGATACTAGGGAATGGAATGGTAGACAGCAACAGAGAAACAAGCTTCAGAAAAAGAAGCGGTATAAAAGTGTGGGGAAATGCCATAAAAACATAGGAGATCTTAAAAACAAGGTGCTTTCTACTCATCAAGCTGGAAGGTCCAATCAGATTAAAATTGAACAACTTAAATTTGATAAATATATTCTGAGAAAACAGCCAAATTTTTGTTATATAAACAATACTTCTTCAGATTCTAGACCCTCAGAGGAGAGTGAGCTGCTCACAGATACTGCCATTTCCACCACCACTTCTCCTGTGGAATCAGATATATTGACCCAAACAGATAAAGAAATGACTTTGCATGAAAGGAGCAGCTCTCTTTCCACCATTGACACTGCCCGATTGATCCAGGCTTTTGGCCATGAAAGAGTTTGTCTGTCACCCAGGAGAGTTAAATTATACAGCAGTATCACTGACCATCAGAGGAGATACATTGAGAAGCCGAGCAAGAACAAGAAGAAAGCATTGAGTTGTCCCCAAATGACTTCTGAACACACCAGAAGGAAACACATCCAGGTACATGGCTACAAATTGCATCTGGCAATGTGACTGCCTTTTTCATGGACTTTTTAGTTAAGCTTTGCACACAGGTGGAGAAAGGCCACTTGCCCTTTCCTCGCTATAATATTCCTTACCAACTGGAAAAGAGTGAGAAAGTGTAGTACAGTGCTATTGTGAGTTGTCATTCTTTTCATCAACACTCATTTACAAATTATCCTTTGGATGAAGGGCTTTGCTGCTAACTGCTTCAGAATCTACAAAGTATATCCCTGGCACCGGTGAGCTTTTAGTTTAGAATGACCTCCATTCTGAAGAATATTGCCGAGCTTTTGTAAATTTGTTTTTTTATTCATTTCTCCCTGTCTTTCAAGACATTTTAAGTTGCTTTAAAACACACACCACACACACACACACACTCTAGAATATGATTTTTTAAAAGGAAAAAAGAATTCAAATGAAAAAAAATTATGGAAGCCAGAGAGGGGTGAGCTACAACATGACTTTTAAGAATAAATAAATGAAGATTTGTGAGTTATGGGAAGACAAGTTGATGCTAGAGAGAGATAAATATACCTTATAGATATGGTTGTGAGTCACAAATTTTGCTTTGTTTTCTACCAGTTAGTATTGCTAGAATTTTGTGATCAATCACAAGTCTATAATATAAAAACAAACCGAATTCTCAAAAGCATTACATATTTCTGGTACTAAAACCTAGAAGAAATTTACTCATCTGTCCTCATAAAGAAGGAACCACAGTGTAATAGAGTCCTCAGCAGCATCCTTACAGTAGGTTCAGTAATAATGCCTATAAGGCTAATATGACCTTACTACAGTGTTCAGCAAAGACATCTCACAAAGGGTCAACACGTAATTTAAGCCAAGAATAAAATTTAGTGTGCCCAGAGAAGTGCTTTATAAAGAGTGATGCTTGTTCTTTGGAGTATAGAAAGAAAAATATTATATTTATTTTTTCTCAAACTTTTAAAATTTACATTTTATATATGTTTATATTATACTAGAGGCCCAGTGCAGGAATTCATGCACAGGTGGGGTCCCTTGGCCTGCCGGCAATCGGGGCCAGCTGGCTGGTGGGGAGGGACCGCGGGAAGTTGGCCAGCCATGGGAGGTTGGCTGTGGAAGTGCACTGACCATCAGGGAGCAACTCCTGTGTTGAGTGTTTGCCCCCGGGTGGTCATTCAGTCACTTAGGCTTTTATATACATAGATGAGTACAGTAATAACATCCTATATAATAAAAGTGTAATATGCAAATTGACCAAAGGGACAGAACAAATGGTCGCTATGATGCGCACTGACCACCAGGAGGCAGACACTAAACACAGGAGCTGCTCCCTGGTAGTCAGTGCGCTCCCACAGGGGGAGCACTGCTCATCCAGACAGCTGGCTAGCCCAGCAACAGTGGTGGGAGCCTCTCCTGAATCCGCTGCAGGCGGGCAGTAAGGAGCAAGGGGTCCCATACTGCGAGAGGGATGTCTGCCTGCCAGCTTAGAGATCGGGCCTAAACTGGCAGGCAGACATCCTCCAAGGGGTCCCGGACTGCGAGAAAGTGCACTGCGACTCTAGTAATTTATAAATACAGGGTGAGGCAAAAGTAGGTTTACAGTTGTATGTGAAAGTTTACTCCTGTATTATTATTCTGATTATTGCATTTTCTGTATAAACAACTGTAAATTTACTTTTGCCCCACACTGCAAATATCTACTTTGGTAATTTATGCTCAAAAATATTGCCTGGCCAGTTAGTTGAGTGTCATCCCATACACTAAAAAGGTTGTGGGTTCAGTTCCCCATCAGGGCAGATACCTAGGTTGCTAATTAGTTCCCCAGTTAGGGCACATAAGGGAGGCAACCTATTGATTGATGTTCCTCTTGTACATCAATGTTTCTCTCTAATTCAGTGGTTCTCAACCTTCCTAATGCCGTGACCCTTTAATACAATTCCTGATGTTGTGGTGATCCCCAACCATAAAATTATTTTCATTGCTACTTCATAACTAATTTTGCTACTATTATGAATTATAATGTAAATATCTGCTATCAGGATGTATTTTCATTGTTACAAATTGAACATAAAGCATAGTGATTAATCACAAAAACAATATGTAATTATATATTCGTTTTCCAATGATCTTAGGCGACCCCTGTGAAAGGGTCGTTCGACCCCCAAAGGGGTTGTGACCCATAGGTTGAGAACCCCTGCTCTAACTGCTTCAGAATCTGCAAAGTATATCCCTGCCATCAGGGAGCTTTTAGTTTAGAATGACCTCCATTCTAACCAATATTGCCTGGGGTTTTTTGTTACGTTTTTTTGTTGATTCATTTCTCCGTGTCTTTCAAGACATTTTGAGTTGCTTTTAAACACACACACATAAAATAAAAAATATTTTTTAAAGGAAATGTAGAGTGAGAGAAAATTATGGAAGCCAGAGAGAAGTGAGCTACAACATGACTTTTAAAAATAAATGAAGAAATGTGAAGACAAGTTGATGCTTTCTCTCTCAAATCATTTTTTAAAAATACCCTTGGGTAACCCTAACCAGTTTGGCTCAGTGGGTAGAGCGTCAGCCTGCGGACTCAAGGGTCCCAGGTTCGATTCCGGTCAAGGGCATGTACCTTGGTTGCGGGCACATCTCCAGTAGGCAGCTGATCGATGTTTCTCTCTCATCGATGTTTCTAACTATCCCTCTCCCTTCCCCTCTGAAAAAAATCAATAAAATATATTTTAATAAATAAATAAATAAAAATGCCCTTGGGTAAAGATTAAAATACATGTATGTTTTTTTTCCTGTAGAACTGCATAATTAAATAATTTAGAGACTGCTAGTCTAGACAAAAGAAGGCACAAGACGTCCAGATACTTTATCATAAATATTATAATTGAGGTCTGGTAGGTATTAAATGATAGTGATTGCATATATAAATAGTACAATATGACTTTTTTTAAGTAAAAAAAGAATTGGAAATGGCACAGATTAAGGCTTTTTGTTCCATAGAAGAGATAAGGGAAAAGGCTCTAAGGAGGGATTTTTGTGTGTGGTAAAATACATACACATAACATAAAATTTATCATTTTGCCCTCACTGGTTTGGCTAAGTGGATAGAGCATTGGCCTGTGGAATGAAGAGTCCCGAGTTTGATTCTGGTCAACAGCACATGCCCGATTGCGGGCTCGATCCCCAGTAGGGGGCGTGCAGGAGGCAGTTTATCAATGATTCTTCCCTCTCATCATTGATGTTTCTATCTCTCTTCCTTTCCCTTCCTCTCTGAAATCAGTAAGAATATATTTTAAAAAATAAAGTTTATCATTTTAATGATTTTAAAGTGCACAGTTTAGTGGCAATGAGTATGATTTTTTGAGGTTTTTTTAAAAATATTTTTATTGATTTCAGAGAAGAAAGGAGAGGGAGGGAGAGAGAAACATCAATGATGAGAGAGAATCATTGATCGGCTGCCTCCTGCACGTCCCCCAGGGATAGAGCCCGCAACCCAGGCATGTGCTCTTGACCGGAATCGAACCCGGGACCCCTCAGTCCATAGACCAACGCTCCATCCACTGAGCCAAACCAGCTAGGGTCATTCACAATGTTTTATAATCATCACCACTATCTAGTTCAACAGCTTTTCATCACCCAGGGGAAATCTCACACCCATTAAGCAAACTCTCTTCTCTCTTCCCAACAGCCTCTCAGAACCACTTAATTTGCTTATTTTTGTGAACTTGCCAGCTCCGGTTATTTCATATAAATGGAATCATACAATATATGACCTATGGGTCAGGCTCCTTTAGCTTAATGTTTTGGGGGTTCCTCCATGTTGTAGCATGAATCAGTGCTTCATTGCATGTATATACCACATTTTATCCATTCATCCACTCATAGATATTTGAGTGTGTGTCCACCTTTTAGCTATTGTGAGTAGAGCTGATATGAACATTTTTGTACAAGTTTTCTTTTTCTGTTTTTAAAAATATTTTTTATTCAGAAAGGGAGAGGGAGTGAAAGATAGAAACATCAACGATAAGAAAAAATCACTGATTGTCTGCTTCCTGCACACCCCCTATTGGAAGTCGATCCCGCAACCCAGACATGTGCCCTGACCAGGAATCGAACCGTGACTTCCTGGTTCATAGGTAGACACTCAATCACTAAGCCATGTCAGCCAGGCTACAGGTTTTTATTTGAATAGCTATAAACATTTCTTTTGAGAATATACCTAGGAGTGGAAATACTGAGCCATGTGGTAATTCTGTGTTTAGCTTATTGAGGAATTGTCAAACTGTTTTCCACAGTGGCTACACTTTTTACATTCCATTAGCAATGTTTGAGGATTACTATGTCCCTGGGTTCACCAACTATCTTTATTCCCCTTTTTTGGGGGGGGGGGCATCCTAGTATAAATGAGATGGTATTTTATACTTATTGTCATTTTGATGGTGGTTATGATTTGCCTTTCCCTGTCCTGCATGACTAATGACGTTTAAGCATCTTTTCATGTGCTTATTGGTCATTTGTATCTTCTTTGGGGAAATGTCTATTCAAGTCTTTACCTACTTTTTAATTGCTGTTTGCTTTTTGGTTTTGAGTTGTAAGATTTATTTATATATTCTGGATTGATTACTATTATCAGATGTATAATTTGTTCCCATTCTCTGGGTGTCTTTTCACTTGTTACTGTCCAAGGCAAAACAGTTTACTTTAAATATATATATTATTCAGAGAGGAAGAGAGAGATAGAAACATCAATGATGAGAGAGAATCATTCATTGGCTGCCTCCTGCACGCCTCTACTAGGGATGAAGCCCGCAATCTGGCATGTGCCCTGACCAGGAATCAAACCGTGAACTCCTGCTTTATTGGTCAGTGCCCAGTCACTGAGCCATGTTGGCTAGGCCACAACAGTTTACAGTTTGATGAAGAGCCCAGTATCCCTATCTTTTGTTGCTTGTGCTTTTGGTGTCATATCTAAGAAACCATTGCTAAGTCCAAAGTCATAA